TTCCCAGAGAAGCTGTGGCTGTCCCTGGATCCCTGGAAGTGTCCAAGACCAGGCTGGATGGGGCTGGAGCACCCTGGAACAGTGGCAGGGGTGACACTGGGTGGGCTTTGAGATCCCTCCCCACCCAAACCATCCCACAGTTCTACATTCCTTTATCAGTTCCCTTTTTTCCCCCAAGGTAATTTAATCCAAATATCCACCTCAGGATTATCTGCAGCACTTTTTGAGTATCTTAATGTTTTTCCTGTCAAGATAACAGGAAAAGGAACAGCAGCAGCAAACAGTCTGTCCTGTTATCAGGGCAAACCAAACAATGCTGGCTCTTCCCATCAATCCATGATTTCAATCCCACAAATCCCAGTGCAAGCCCATCCCACGAGGTGTGTGCTCGTGGGAGAATTATAAAAACACCAGCAGAATTTCTACTTCAAACCCTATTTTTGGAAATACACAATAACTACAGGGTGCAGAACCAACAAATCCAACGTGGCTTTGGATCCTCCTCTTTTTCAAGTCCCACATCTGTGGTGAGTATAACTGTGCACATGTCCTTTTCTCTGCTTTTTAAAGTTTTCTAAAGATGGTTTTGGTGTTATTTTTTCCTCCTGTTTGCTTTTTCAACATCCACAACAGCAGGATTCAATCTCTCCCTTTCCATTTCTGATCCCTGCAGGAATCCTGAAGGATATTTAGGTCAAGGGTTGAACCAGAACAAGACAAGTCGATATTGACTTTGACTCCCATCTTCAAAGTTTCATCTTTTCCACAACAGCTGGACAAAAAAAAAAAGTTTGGAATTTGTGTCATTGGAGCCCCTAGGGAATGTTTGGACAAGCAGGATTGGGAATGGATCACTGAGAGTGAGGTTTAAAAGCTATTTGTTCATCCAGCTGTGCTCAGCCTCTGCAGATCCCACATTTCCCTTCCTTGGCAGGCTGCCCACGCCTGAGAAATTCCTAAGAGGAAAAAATTCCCAAGAGGAAAAATTCCCAGCTGTAGCTGGGTCCCTGAACAACGGCTCTGAGAGGCTGAGGGAAAACAGAAGCCAGAGGATCCAGCCAAACACAACCTGCAGGTCAGCCAAGAGATTTCCAGGTGTTGCTGAGACCTCCAAAGCAGCGTTTCCAGAATGGATCATCCTGGGAGAGCTCCTGCGTTTGGATCGATGTCGAGAACCAGAACAGGTCTGGTTCTCCCAGGTTTTGTTTCCAAAATCTGTGGGGCAATCACCTTTTAAAGGATTTTACACCACTAAAACTCAGTGATCCTTGGGTTGTTTTGTTTCCAAAAAGCGTGAAGGAAAAGAAAGGAATTCTGGAGAATGAAAATTGTAGTTTTTATGGTCCAATGTCCTGTGGGAAAAGGACCTGGGCTGAGGTTGTTCAGCACCTTGAGCAGCCACATCCTGAAATCCTCCAGGGACTCCACCACATCCCAGAGGAGGCTGTTCCAGGGAATGATGGCTCTCACTGGAAAAAAATGTGTTTTTTCCATTGGGGATGAACCTTTCCTGTCCCCACTGCTCCTTGTCCTCTCCATGTGAAGGGAGATGTTCTGTCCTCTTTGTATCCATCCTTTGAGGACTGGAAAACCCCAGTGAAGTTCCACCTGAGCCTTCTCTTTTCATGGAATCATGGAATGGAATCCCAGGATGGTTTGGGTTGGAAAGGACCTTAAGGATTGTCCCATTCCAACTCCTGCCATGGCAGGGACACCTTCCACTGTCCCAGGCTGCTCCAAGCCCCGTCCAGCCTGGCCTTGGACACTTCCAGGGATCCAGGGGCAGCCACAGCTGTTCTGGGAATTCCAGGGAGACTCAAATCCTTCAGCCCTTCCTTCCTTGGACCATTTCCTTTGGATCCTCTCCAGTCTGGCTGTGAATTTCTTGACTTGTGGAGACCAGAACTGGACAAGGAATTCCAGGAGCACCGGGCAGAGCGGGATGATCCCATTTCTCCCTCCCAATGTCCCTGTGGATGCAGCCCAGGCCCCGATTTGCCTTCCCTCAGTTCCCTCTCAGTGAGGCTGCTCCCAAACCTCACTGATCCCAACCTGGGCTGGACTCTTGGGATGTCATTCCAGCTGCTACACTTGGAATTTTGTTTGGAGACACGCTCCTCTAGCTTGAGCAGATCCCTGGAATGTTATCCCATTAATTAAGGAATCACACGGACACAAAATCCTCCGTGACACGAAGGGGTTTGGGATATTTGGAATTTCTCCTCTTTTTTTAATATATATTAAGAACTGAACTTCTCCATAAAAAAAAATCCCAAACCCTTCTGTGACTGGGAAAATTACAGCTGAAGGCAAGAGTAGGAATGGTGAGCCAGGAGAGGTAAAAATCCATTTAAATGTTCAGATTGTTCCAACTCCCTTAATTCCCAGGAATCTGATGAAAACACTGACAAATGTGGACAGAAAAAGATGAACAAACCACCTGTATTTTACTTCTTTTTTCATCTTTCCAAACCTTACAAACAGCAGGGGAATAGCATGGGGGAAATGGAGGAACGACTCCTGAAAACTCTGGAAGAGAACTGGGAGGTAAGAAAAGAAAACCTGGAAATTCTGCAGGAAAACTTGGAGGTGAGGAATGAAACCTGACAAGTCTGGAGGAGAACTGGGAGCTAAGAAAGCAAACCTGGGAACTCTGGAAGAGAATTGGGAGCTCAGGAACAAATGTGGTTGGAGAAAATGGAATGAGGGGGGAAAAAAATTCTTCTTCCCATGGTTACGTAAGGGCTATAAGTAGGACTTTAACAGGTGTCAAACTGGGAGAAAACTCCAGCAATCCAGGATTTTCCCATCCAAGAGGGCTGGCAGTTAGTTTGGGGTTTATTTAGGCTGGCTTAAGTGCCAAGGCTGAGCTGGACAGGGGTGGTTCACTTTGGGCTGCTCCAAAAAATCCACGCAGGATCAGGAGGATGCAATTCCCATCTGCTCCAGCCAATGCTTAAAATTCAGGAAAGGGAAGAGAATCTGGGCCTGTGTTGCCAAAAAAGGGCCTTTCCACGGAAGGAAGGAAACGTGGCTGAGCATTTACCCAAAAATAGAAGGTGTGGAGCCACTCAGCAAAATTCCCAGCACTCCTGGAAGAGGCTGGAAGGCTGATCCAGAATGTGGCAGGTTTCAGGGATGGGAACATGGATTGAAAACCCTTTCCTAGCTGCTGTTGGTGATCCCAGCCCTGAGGGGTGAGAGGCTTCATATCCCACATGAATTGGGGGATATGAGTGGCAGGAAAGGATTCCTGATCCTGGGATATCCAGCTCAAGGTCAGGAGGAGCTAGAGAGATAAGGGAAAAAGGGATATTCCCACCCCAACTGGGACTTCCCAATCCTGTGATCCCAGGTAACCTCAGCTTCCTCCCGGAATATTTTGGGAGCTGTTGGGGTGACCCAAACATCCAGAAATTACGGAATAACTCTTCAGCATCCAACCTTGCTAGGAGAGAGGTGGAAAAGAACCGCTTTTCCCAGGGAACAGGACTAAGCTGATGTCACATCCCAGTCAGGACTCTCCACCCCTGGATCTCTCCTCCCAGGGCTGTGAGGTGTCCCAAAAAACCCCGATATACTGGGATTGCAGAGTGGGGGGATCACCAGGACTTATCCAAGATTCCAGGAGGATTGAAACGGGGCTGATCCCTGGAGGATACCCCTATCCCCACATCCATGGGGAAAAACAGCCCATGGGAGGCATCCAAGCATCTCCCAACACCTGGAAAATACTGGAATGGGGAAGGAAGCACTGCCACACACCAAGTTCTAGGAGGGGGTAACCCTAAATCCATTTGTAAAAGGATAACCCCCCCCACCCCTGATTCTGGGATCATTGGGATGGGAACACCCCAGCTCTCCCCACGCTATTCCCGGGCTTTGGTGACAGGGTGACCCCATTATTCCCGGCTTGTTAGGGTATCCCAGCTCCACCCGGGAATGTCCCAGATCCAGGGATAACTGTCCCCTCGGGGCCTTGGGTGTCCCTATCCCGGACCCCAGGGGTTAGGGTTGTCCCTGTCCCCTCAGGACCTTGAGGACACCTGGATGGGATGACGCTCTCTGGAGCGTGAGGATGGGGATGGCCCCATTAAGGACCCGCCAGGAATGGGGGTGCCCCGGTCCCGAACACCGTGGGAACGGGTAATTCCCAATCACAGATTCCTTGAAGCTTTGGGAATGGATCTGTCCCAATATCTGACCCTCCGGGATGAGGGTGCCCAGTCCAGGATCCCTCAGGACCTTGGGGACGGCGGTGTCCCGGTCCCCGACCTCCCGGGGACGGGGGTGCCCCGGTCCCGAACCCCTCAGGACCTTAGAAATGGGAGTGCCCCGGTCCCGGTCGCCTTGGGATGGGGATGCTTTGTTCCCATATCCCTCGGACCCCTCAGTGCTGCCCCGGCCCCGAACCCCTTCTGGGCCTTGGGGTAGGGGTCATCCCCGGCGCCGTCCGCCACTCACCCGCCGCCCGCGGCCTGCTCGGCAGCTGCACGAAGCGGTTCAGGATCCCTCCCCCGCCGCCATCGCCGCCTCCCGCGGCGCCGCCCGCGCCCTCCCCGAGCCCGTCCCGGGCCGCGGCCGCCGCCGACATGGCCCGTCCGCTGCCTGAGGGACGGGGAGCCAAACACCAATCACCGCCGAGCTTCTTCAGCGGCGACCTATCAGCTGCGGGCTTGTTGGCAGGTGGGGGGAGGCTGAGGCGAGAGCGCCTCTGTTGGGAGATTTGAGCGATCGATCCAGGCTGGATCAATTGAGCGCCGAGAGCGGGGACGCGGGGACGTTCACGGGGACATTCTCGGGGTCACCCCCGAGGACATTCGCGGGGACTTTCACGGGGGCGCCGGCGCCCCCCGAGTCCTCCGCGAGGTTCCGGAGGCCGTGCCGGTGTTGCGCGAGGTCATGTGCGACCCCGCGGGCCGAGCGGAACGATCGTGCGCGAGCGGAACGTTCGTGCGGGCCCGCGTTTCCCGGGCCGTGAACGGCAAGGCGGGACCAAAATGGCGGCGCCCAGCGCCGGGGGCGCGGCGGCGGCAGCGGCGGGGGGGAACCGAGGGCGGCCGCCTCCCGTCACTCCCCGGCAGATCCGCGACCTCATCGACGGCGGCATCGCCACCGAGGGGCCCGGGCCCGGCGGGTGAGGAGCAGCGGCGGGGAGGGACTCGCTGGCAGCGGGGTTGGCGTCGGGGGGAGGCCCGGCCGTGGAAGGGGAGGGGAGGGCTGGGGACTCGTGAGGGAATTGGGGGGTCCTGTGGGGGGAGGGGGGCTGGAGGGGATTGGGAAGTGCTGGGAATTGTTATTTGGGAAGGATAGTGGGAAAAAGAGAGCGAAGGAATGGGCTGGGAAGCACAGGGAGCGCTGGGAGGGGGCACTGGTGGGATTAAGGGGCACTGGGAGGGGGCACTGGTGGCACTGGGAGGCACTGGGAATGCTGGAGAGATTGCGGTGCGCTGGGAGTGCTGGAGGGACAAGGAGGCAGCAGCGGGAACAGATCCTGGGACACTGGGAGGTGGCAGTGGGCACTGGGAGGGGATTGGGGGTACTGGGAGGGGACTGGGGACACTGGGAGGGAACTGGGGTTACTGGGGACACCGGGAGGTGGCAGTGAGCACTGGGAGTGGACTGGGGGGCACTGGGAGGGCACTGGGGGCACTGGAAGTGGACTGGGGGAACTGGGGGCACTGAGAGGGCACTGGGGGTACTGGGAAGGTACTGGGGGCACTTGGAGGGTCCTGGGGAAACTGAGAGAGGATGGGGGGCACTGGGAGGGAACTGGGGACGGTGGGAGGGGACTGGGGGCACTGGGAGGGAACTGGGGACACTGAGAGGGAACTGGGGACACTGAGAGGGGACTGAGGACACTGAGAGGGAACTGGGGACACTGGGAGGAAACTGGGGGTACTGGGAAGGGACTGGGGACACTGGGAGGCCAGCCCAGGTAAGTGACCAGTGGTCCCAGCAGTCACCCCTTGGTGGGGCACTGGGAGTTACTGGGAGGCACTGGGAGCAATGGGGGCTGAGCTTTGGGGGTGTCTCAGGGGCTCCCTTGTCCCAGCCATGAATTTTGACTCACGGAAAAGTTTTGGGAAGAGGCCAAAGGGCAGCCATGGGATCAAATTGCAGCCTTGGGATCAAATTGCAGCCTTGGGATCAAATTGCAGCCTTGAGATCCACATTCCAGCCTTGGGATCCACATTCCAGCCTTGGGATCCACATTCCAGCCTTGGGATCCACATTCCAGCCTTGGGATCCACATTCCAGCCTTGGGATCCACATTCCAGCCTTGGGATCCACATTCCAGCCTTGGGATCCACATTCCAGCCTTGGGATCCACATTCCAGCCTTGGGATCCACATTCCAGCCTTGGGATCCACATTCCAGCCTTGGGATCCACATTCCAGCCTTGGGATCCACATTCCAGCCTTGGGATCCACATTCCAGCCTTGGGATCCACATTCCAGCCTTGGGATCCACATTCCAGCCTTGGGATCCACATTCCAGCCTTGGGATCCACATTCCAGCCTTGGGATCCACATTCCAGCCTAGGGATTCCCATTCCAGCCTTGGGATCCACATTCCAGCCTAGGGATCCACATTCCAGCCTTGGGATCCACATTCCAGCCTAGGGATCCACATTCCAGCCTTGGGATCCCATTCCAGCCTTGGGATCCACACTCCAGCCTTGGGATCCACATTCCAGCCTTGGGATCCACATTCCAGCCCTGGATTCCGGTCTTGGGAGCATCCCAGATTTCAATCCTCAACGTGCTGGGCTCAGAGAGCAAACCCCTCTTCCCTCCTTCTCCCATCAAATCCCAGCTGGACACATCCAAGGCACCTTTGGAATTTGATTAATTCATTGTTTTATTAGGAATTAATTAAAAATTGGGAATGGGGAGCTCTGGAGAAGATCCTTGTCAGGACAAGGCTGAGGGATGGGAGGTTAAGAAGTGTTCTGTGCTTTTTTTGGAATCAATGGAATCATTCCAAGAATTTTCCTTGCTGATTTTTTTCCCTTTTAGGAAAGACACATCCGACTGCTCGGATCGAGCCAATGGACCTTCCCAAATGGAAGCTCTTTCCTTGGAATCTGCCAGCAGGGAAGCTTATTTCAGCAGAGTGGAAACATTCACCATATCCTTTGGAATGCTGGGAATTCCAGCTTGGAATTGTGGGGGAAGGGATCCAGAGGGATCATCGATCCAATTCTCGGCCTTGCGTCCCAAAATTCCACCCCCTGTCTCTTGAGAGTTCCTGGAGATTTGGAGCTGTGAGAATTCCCTGGGGAATGTTCAGTATCCCAGCAGCCTGTGGGGGAAGGGGCTTTTCCTTTTCCTAAAATCCTGCATTTTCCTAAAATCCTGCCTTTTTCTAAAAGCCAGCATTTTCCTAAAATCCAGCTTCATCCTAAAATCCTGCCTTTTCCTGAATTCCAAATTTTTCCTAAAATCCACCCTCATCCTGAAATCCTGCCTTTTCCTAAAATCCAAATTTTTCTAAAATCTCACTTCTTCCTATAATCCAGCCTTTTTCCAAAATCCTGCCTTTTCCTAAAATCCTGCCTTTTCCTAAAATCCTGCCTTTTCCTAAAATCCTGCTTTTCCTAAAATCCAGCCTTTTCCTGAAATCCAAATTTTCCCTAAAATCCAGCCTCTTCCTATAATCCAGCCTTTTCCTAAAATCCCACCTCATCCTGAAATTCTGCTTTTTTCCTGAAATCCAGCCTTTCCCTAAAATCCTGCCTCTTCCTAAAATCATGCCTTTTCCTAAAATCCAGCATTTTCATGCAATTCAAACTTTTCCTAAAATCCAAATTTTTCTTAAAATCCACCCTCATCCTAAAATCCAGCATTTCCTAAAATCCTGCCTCTTCCTAAAATCCAACCTTTTTATAAAATCCTGCCTTTTCCTAAAATCCTGCCTCTTCCTAAAATCCAGCCTTTTTCTGAAATCTCACCTTTTCTTAAATTCCAGCCTTTTCCTAAAATCCAGCTTCTTCCTAAAATCCAACCTTTTTCTAAAATCCAGCCTTTTCCTGAAATCTCACCTTTTCTTAAATTCCAGCCTTTTCCTAAAATCCTGCATTTTCCTAAAATCCAAATTTTTCCTAAAATCCACCTTCATCCTAAAATTCCACCTTTTTTTAAAATCCTGCTTTTCCTGAAATCCTGCCTCTTCCTAAAATCCAACTTTTTCCTAAAATCCCAACTTTTCCTAAAATCCCTCCCTGCACATCTCCAGCCATTCCTTGTATTCCTGCCCTGCTTCCCCTCCTGAGGAAGCTGCAGCCCGCTCCGAGCTCTCCCTCTCTTGGAATGTTTCCCCATCCCCAAAAAATCCTGGATGTTCCCCCATCCCAACAAAAGCTGTTTCCCCCCACTCCAAAAAAGCTGGGATGTTTCTCCCATCCCTAAAAAAATCCGGGATGTTTCCCCCATCCCAAAAAAACTGGGATGAAAACCCATCCCAAAAAAAGCCGGGATGTTTCCCCCAGCCCCCAAAAATCCGGGATGTTTCCCCCCACCCCAAAAGATCCGGAATGTTTTCCCCATCCCCAAAGAAGACAGGATGTTTCCCCCAGCCCCAAAAAAATCTGGGATGTTTCCCCCATCCCCAAAAAAACCGGGATCTTTTCCCCATCCCAACGAAAGTCAGGATGTTTCCCCCATCAAAACAAAACTGGGATGTTTCCCCCATCCTTGAAAAATCCGGGATGTTTCCCCCATCCCAACAAAACTGAGATGTTTCCCACATCCCTAAAAAAGCTGGGATGTTTCCCCATCCCTAAAATATCTGGAATGTTTTCCCCATCCCAAACAAAACTGGGATGTTTCCCCCATCCCCCAAAAAACCGGGGTCTTTCCCCCATCCCAACAAAAGTTGGGATGTTTCTCCCATCCCCAAAAGAGCCAGGATGTTTTTTCCATCCCAGCAAAACTGGGATGTTTCCCCCAGCCCCAAAAAATCCAGGATGTTTCCCCCATCCCAAAAAAAGCCACTGTTTCCCCCATCCCCAAAAAACCTGGGATGTTTCCCCCACCCCTGAAAAAGCCAGGATGTTTCCCCCATCCCTAAAAAATCTGGAATGTTTCCCCCATCCCCAAAAAAAACGGGGTCTTTCCCCCATCCCAACAAAAGCCAGGATGTTTCCCACATCCCTAAAAAGTCCGGAATGTTTCCCCCAGTCCAACAAAAGCTGAGATGTTTTCCCCGAGCCCCAAGAAAGCCAGGATGTTTTTTCCATCCCAACAAAAGCCGGGATGTTTCCCCCATCCCCAAAAATTCCAGGATGTTTCCCCCATCCCAAAAAAATCCAGAATGTTCCCCCCATCCCAAAAAACCGCGGGAATTTTTGCAGTTAGCTCCTTGACGGGCTGACCCGCTGAGGTGGGCGGGCAAACCGGCGTCGCTGTCGCCGCTGGTGTGCGCCAGGTTGGGCTGGGTGAGCGTGGAGTGCGACATGCTCAGGTGCTCCAGCTGCCAGGCCTACCTGTGCGCCAGCCTGCAGCTGGCCCTGGACCTCAGCACCTGTGAGTGGGGATCAGCCGGGATTCTGGGATCAGCCGGGATTCTGGGATCAGCCGGGTTCCGGGATCAGCCGGGATTCTGGGATCAGCCGGGATTCTGGGATCAGCCGGGTTCCGGGATCAGCCGGGTTCCGGGGATCAGCGGGTACTGG